CGTTTTTTTTTCTTCTAATGCCCTACATCACCTCTTACACTTCTTGTTTGCAATCAGAAAAAAATATGTTACACGTGCCAACATTGATAAGGTGGACTTGTTTTTGAAAACGTGCCCCACCTATCTCAGTTTACCTTAAAAACAATTTTGTAATAAAAGAAATTCCCATAGATTCTGAAGCACCTGAGTGATATCTAAGTTAATATACTGAGATGCAAGGTAGGGGCTTTTAGATACCCCTTCCAATGTAATCACATTTTGCACCTAATGAACTGTGCATATTGAAAAAAGAAATAAATGATTAAATGTCTTCGTTGTGTTAGGCAGGCCCGATTTTTTATACTATGTATCATTGTACTATGTAAACATTGTGATACAAGGCAAAGTACTAGAATAGCTTCGGCTATCTAGTGATTCCAACGACTGATGGAACAAAAACGGATCAAGTTTACAAAAAGTTCACCCTTTGGGGAGGTTGGAATACCAGAAGAGCGAGGCTAAACGGTTTCCAACTTCGGATGTAGGCTTGGTAGAAATAATAGGTTGTACAAAGTTTGGTTCAAATTGGATAGTTGGTTCGCATTACATTATAAAATTCATTTTTAGCATATATTGTGGTTGAGGACATAGAAGTAGTAGACCGATATTCCACATCTACGAATTTAAACTAAGTTTGATAGAAATATTATAATGTGTAAAGTTTGTCGCTTACTCCCTTCGAGAGTTATTGTACGCACCAGTCGGTTAAGCAGAAAGACTGCCTGAAACGGACAGACTGTTTGAAACGGAATAGGTCATGGGTCCAATATTTTTAGCCAAAAGTCTGAGGATAAGAAACCCCATTTTAAGTAGTCTTCTGTCGTTGAAAATTTGCCTCTAATTATATTCTCAACCTTATGACTAATGACAAACACTTCGATAAGACAAAAATATGCCTAATCGAAATATTGGTTTTAAATCCCCATTGGCCCACGCCTTCAGGCGAATGGAATGTCCGATTTAGACGAACTTCACACAATATAATATCTTTACCACTTTTAACTTAATACAATACAAACACGGGCCGAACTTTGGATACCCTCCACAGGTACTTGAAATGCAAATATAGAGAACATGCGATAAAGTCAACCTATACCTACACTTCTACAAACCATAATTTACACCAAATACAAATTTTAGCAATTTTTAATGGATTTTTTCCCTAAAAAACACCAAAAAGTGGGCCGAAATTGGCGACGCACGGTAGGGTGGAACATCCCCAAAATATTGCAATTTAGAGGGCACAGTTATATGAGACTATCACCAGCGTATCCATGTATTATTGGGGTGGAGGTTGCGTGGAAGCTGCTGGTTCAATATGAAAATTATCATTGCAGAAAAAAAATTGTATGAGTACGTCCCTGGAGGCGATACCTAAAGCGGGACCAATATTGATTACATCGTGTAGCAATTACCGGACATTTGTAGATATCATTATATAAGGTAATATGCTTAATCGAGGACTATATCTCAATTTCGAAACTAACATTTTTGCATCACAATAACTTCTTTTACGCTAAATATTAAAAATACCGAATATCGGTAAGTATCATTTTATGGGGGTTAGGCCTAAATGCGGGCCGATATAGTTCCTTCTTGAACTTTACGTTCTAGTTTGTTATCTCAACATCCTCCGCAGGTAGAATGATTACAACAGAGTATTAGAACCAAAGTCAAAACAAGATCCCCAATATTGGAGGGTACCGTTATATGGGGACTACCCGAAAAAAATTGACCTATGTATAATTTTAAGTGACGCGATTTGCTACCCAATAAGAAATCGAAGTACTAAATTAAAGCCGATTCGGTCTACCAGAAAAAAGTGCACCTATATTTCTAATTTTTAGTGGTGAGATTTGGTACCCAATAAAAACACAATGAACAAATTTCAAGAAACCCAAAATACCGAAAATTGGAGTCTATTGGGGTCCCAATTGGCTATATCGGTGACACTAAACCCATCTTCCCATATTCGAACTTTACCTGCACGCAGACGAAAGACGACTCTAAGCTAAATTTTGGTGATATATCTCAATTCGTTTAGAGGCTAGATTGATTCCACCATACAAGCGGAAAAGCTTAGATCATCATAGAATTTTTTTGTCCTCCATAATCAGATCTTAACATATGTAATGCAAAAAATATATATTTACTAGCTGAGTTTTAAATATAAGCTTTGAAACATTTGCCTGTAGGCAACATTGTGTCATAGAGGGTTAAAATACCAATAGGAGATAAATAATTTGCATTTGACAAACTAAAATGCGATTCTTAATCTAAAATATCGCGAATTACACTTCCTTTAAAATTTTGGAGATTTTGAATAGTTTTATTTTGATATTGATAGCACCTTTGATATTTGATATTGATAGCACCAACATATACACTTCCGAAGTACTAAGGTGACCATACGTCCTCTTTTTTAGAGGACAATAATCTATTTTAAATGGCTGTCATCCATAAAATTTATGTGCTCTATATGTCATCTATTTCTAAAATCTGCCATCATTGTCATGTATATTTTTAAAACCTTGATCAGTACATTTTCTGAAATGTTAGTGAATTATTTAGAAAATATGTCAGAATCTCAGCAGGAACTGTAGAACTGTACGCCCACATTATCGGTATTTTCCAGATAATCCGAATAATCTGTTATTTTATATTTTGAGTTATTATTATGTAACAAATTTCCACAAAAAAATATTAACTATTAAATATTGGTATTTGCAGGGTTTTTGGACACGTTTTGCAACCGAATTGGCTTTAATTTGATATTTGGTGTTTCTGACTATTCGCTTGGGACCAAAAATTTGGCCCGGTCGTACTTATTGACTTTTTAACCCATTTTATAATTAACCCATTATATAATTATTAGTAAATCTAAATGTACCACTTATACACCTACTAAGAATATCCAAACAAAAAGCTAAGGGAACTGGTGAGGATCAGTGGCGTGATCCGAAACTATAGTCTTCCCTGCCTTACCCCTCGGCAAACAATGCCATACATTCCCCACAAATAAATAGTTGTTTTTTTTATAAAAACAAAAAAACTGGGATTCAGCCTGACTATTTTGCAAAAACAAAATATTAAAAATATACTTTTTTGTCATCTATTGTCATTTTCAAAATCGGAACGCCCATGTGGTCCATTTGGTAAACAAAATCGGAAATGCATATAGAAGGACCGGTATAATAATTACCTTATACAGAAGTAATTTCATTTTATTACATAGTTGTTTGTTGTTAAATATTGTTAAAAAGCTCCTTTCATTTTATTTGATTTTTTCAAGTTATTCCGATTAAGCCATCTAGGTCTGCCCGTCTGTAGAAATAATATTTAATATCGAGTTCCGAACTTTTGCACATACATTGATAGTACTTTTAGGATGTTTGTTTTTGCAAATGGGATATATCGTTCCACGTTTTCGTTTAATCCCCATATGACGATAACCCCACAATTTTTGTGATTTCTGGCAGCTAATTCAAACGCCACGCCTCTTTTTCGATATGTTCAAGGAGTTAGTTCAGCCTGAGTGTTGGTATTTCGTTTCCACCTTGACAGCCCCGATAAATTTGAACTATTTTCAATGTACACTTCATGGTGACGGGCATAAAAGGTTCGGACCGGAAAATTTAACCACCTTTTTACGTGTTTTTTTGTGCTATATTAAAACGACAGTGTCGCTAAATGAGTTAATCGATCTTATATAATTGTACAGAAGTCACAGTCTAGTGTTCTCGGTATGTTTCGAATCGTAATCATGATGGAATCAAAAAGTACTAGTACATATTTCTCTACGCATTTCTTCATATTATTTTTTAAAATATTATATTGGGGAAAAAATCCATTATTATTATTTTTTTTTGTTGATAATGGTTTAAGTATGTTCGGTGGACGATGTTACGACAAGTTAAAAAATGCTGACCTCGCTCTAAAATTAACAAAATGGCGGACCTTTGAAAAAATATTTTTGAAAAATCATTTTTTACCAAAAACCAAGTTAAAAAATGATCTTCACCGATTGGCTTTACTAGTTCATACGATAGCAGTACACTCACAGAGAAACGTGTAAAAATTTGAAATCGATTGGGTTATTAGTTTTTGAGTTATCGTGCCCGCCATTCGCAAAAAAATGTTCAGAGAAAAACGCTTTTAAAGTTTGAGAAGCCCTTCAGCCGTCACTTGATGCTGACACAATAAATCGGCTATATCTTCAAGAGTTCTTGAGATTTTAACTTGAAATTTTGCAGGGACATTCTTGAATTAGTGTAGATTGGAATTAAGTCAACAAAAATTTTGACCCCGAGAATGGGGGGGGGTCCCCTTAAGTATGTTCGGTGGACGATGTTACGACTGCTAACATGCCGATCAACTTCGATCATTCCTGTCCATTTTATCGACATTATCGACGACCGGCCTACCTGTGCGAGGTGCATCTTTAAAATCAAAAATTCCTGAACGGAATTTACGAAACCAAAATTGCACATAATTGGCTGCTACAGTATCGGAACCATAAACCAAACAATAAACAGCCTAATATTTGAGAGGGAATCTGGAAAAAAGTACCAAGAGGTGTATTTTCGACAGTTAAATGAAAAGTGCAGCTAAGTACGAGGCAGCTAAATCAAAACTTCTTTATAAATATAATCATGACTATCTATCTATAGATATTGTAATATATTTTCATTCAATTTCTCAACAAAATCAAAAGATATATATATATATATATATGTTAACCTAATAACATATGCAAGGCGGAATTCTTTAGCTTTATGTGACTCCCAGTGTTCCTCCCAAGAGAATCATATATTTTCACCGCGAATTTTTTCTCAATTTCTTTCAAAGACACTCACATAAATTCAAGCTGCATGATCCTGATTGTGAGTACAAAAACCAATACCCTAACAATTTGTAAATCCTTTTTGTTTTGCGGATAGTTTATAAAAAACTATACTTACTTTTATGGTTTTCGTACTGAGCAATCCTGGTGTATATTGTTGAGATGCGACGACTTTTGTTCATTATATAGATGCAGGGACTTGAATGCAATAGTTTTTTTCTTTCTTATTCTTAGTCTAAATTTTGTTAACTTTACTAATTCTTGGAATTCGTATGTAGATGTAGTTAAGTGGAAGAAGTTTCGAAAACTTTGTTGTTGGTTGATTTTTTCTTGAAATCACTCTTTTTTTATTTAAGGAACTTTAATTTTGTTTGAATTTTTAAAAAATTTATTATATATATTTTTTTTAATTTTAACTTTTTGTTATTAAGGAATTTCCGTTTCCTTGTCTTTTTGTTTTAGAATATATAATTTTTTTTTAGTTTTCTAAATAAATCACAAATGTTTCCAAAATGGTTATCACAAATAATTAAATCACAATAAATTTTTGTTGTTGTTTTTTTTTTATTTCAGATAGTTTCTCGGGGGACTAAACTCGAAAGGGTTCCGTTTGTTGGTTGGTTTCGCACAGATAAACTTCTCAAAGGTGAGCAATTATTTTTTATTTATTAATTGTTGTTTTTTTTAAATAATGGAATAACGGGATCTGGGACCAATTAGTTTGGAGCTACTGCTTGCTGTGATTTGTTTGCCGTTCCAATTTTCAAAACAATTCTAGTATACTGTAGCGAATAGCGCTGAGTGCGAGCAATCCACCGATTCGCATCGAGCTCTACATAGCTCTGGACTGGTTGATCGTTTGTGTTGAGCGTTGAAACCTTCGTGTGGCAATAGCTTGTTGGGGTGTGTGTGCGTGTGTAGATCGTGCTCGTTGTTATTGTGTTTGTTGTTGTTGCTACTACTACTACAGCTGACAACGCCTAGAGTTGTTGTGATGATTTCGTGGTTGTTTGTTGTTTACAATGGTGGTATTCCCATGTTTGCCGCCCTCTTCCTAGGCTACGGATCGCTGGCTTGCTGTTTGGTTGGTTGATCGGCTAGCTGACGGAATAACTGACTGGCTGGCTAAACATTCAAGTTGTTGTTTGTCAACGTTTGGGTTGATCGGCTAGGTCGTCGTCGAATAGGTTGCTTGCTCGCCAGTCGCTTGTTTGATTAAGTTTGTGGGTCTGTCGTGAATCTATTTTTAGTTCGTTTGTTTGTTTTTGTTGGTGGCTGTTCTGTTTATTTTTATCATCATCATTTGTTTACGACACTTGTTGCTGCTACAGCCACTGGTGGCCACGACCGATATGTTGTTGCCACGCTTGCTGATACAATCACCAATTGCTAGTTGTTGCTGTGCAACAAACATTTGTATTTTTTTTCGTGTTGTTTTGAATATACAAAAAAAAATTGAACCGATAGATAAATGACTGGGTCCTGAAGCGTTTTTCACTGCCGTACGTTTGAACGTGACCACTTGTGTTGGTTTTAATATCTTGTCACAAAAGTAATGAGAACGGCGCCAATCGTTTCTTTCGAGCTATGCAGATTGAACAAATTTTTTTTCGCGTGTCTCTCTTACATTCGTTACGTGTTGGCGTCTAAGCTATTTTTGGCTTACAAATTTTCATTTGCAATAAATCATCATTGGTTTGTTGCATGTTTTCATTTTTTTTCCTTCACAAAAATTTCAATTATTTCTTCTGATATAATAATTCTTCGTTTTTTTTTTTGTGTGTGTACGTTTTTCTTTTTTTAATTAAAACCGATCTATTTTAAGATCTGAACACAATATTTTTAAATTCCACTTAATAGTCATTGCGTTTCAATGTCCGCCTCCGTTCACAGCCGTCGTATTAAAGATGCTCGCTTCACAAATGTCGATTAACTTAAGCTGACGGCTAGTATCATTTAATCTTAATTTTCTTAATATTCAATATTGTATTATTTGTTTTGTTGATTAACTTCGTGTTGTCGATCGTTCATCGTTCGTTGCATTATCAAAGTTATCAGTTCGAAACCTCTGGTTTGTTGTTTACAAAATCCTCCTAGAACGCCATCATGTCTTGACGATTCGAAATATAGACTTCCAGTATAAAAGAATATATGAATAAGGGCGGACTATCTTTCAAAAGCATCGGACGAAATACTTATTTAAACACTGGTGGCCAAGACTAAAGCAACTGAAATTGCAAACAGAATAAATGAGCCTTTTATATACCCTCCACAATAAGGATTGGCATTCCGTTTGCAACACATCGAAATATTCACCGGACACCCCACAAAGTATAAATATTCTTGGCCAGAATATAATTCTATGTATGTCGATTTATGCGTTTCAGTGTGTTGAAATTAAGATAGAGATCGCAATATTCAAGATAGAGCTCCGAAAATTTGCACAAACTTTGATAGTACTCCTAGGATGTGTTGTATAGTTCATGCCCTTACCAAATTATTAATATTGACCCAAGTATAACGGTACTCCCCAATATTCGGTATTTTGGAAACCGAATTTGCCATAATGTAGTATTTTAGGTCCTCATTGTATAGCACATGTCCGTACCAAAAATTATTAATATTGACCCAATTTTTCCGGTAGGAAAATCTTAACGGAAATACTCGATCTGCTGTCCAAAAATTATATTGAGAAACAAAACCGAGAATCGAATTTGCAACTATCCGAAAAACAGCAAGAAAACAGTAAGGAAAGTTCCACTCTGGGTATATACAAAAGATAGGTATATACCAAGTGCACCATACGTCCTTCTCTAATAATTTTGTTCGTATATGTACAATAACCGATTTTCTCGAAACTTAACACATATCGTTCAAGACATAATCCAGTACGCTATACCACATTTCGTGCAAATCGAAAGATATATAGGGACTTTGGGGCACAATTTACATTAAATCGGACGAAAATATAAAATCTGAACCGATTTCCCCTATTCTAATAGGGTTTGTCTTTGGGCCAAATAATGAGCTGTGCTAAATTTCATCCAGTTCGGATCATAAATGCGACATGTACTTTGTTTACAATTTAACATGGACAGACAGACGGACGGACATACATAAATCGACTCAGAAAGTGATTCTATGCATATTCATCGTAAGTCATATACCGTGTACCAAAATACACCATTTACATAAAATCGGAACCAAAATATATATGTGAGCGATATCTACCAAATACCAAATACTTACTTAATTTTTGTCGGTTTTATGGACCCTGACTTTTCTGTGAAAAATTACAAAATTTGTATTCTATAGCGTATATATTTACTACTGAAGGGCATAGTCCAGAGAAGATGATAATATAACCAAGAGAAGGGGTTGGCCTTTAAATTTATACCAATTATATTGTCGTATGTACTCGGATGTGGGAGTTACACATACATTTTTGCAGGTGCTTACGTATTCAGATATTATTTAGTAATCCATTACCACATTGGAGGGCGGAAATATAGCGCTGATTGCTTTAAATTGTTCCATGAGGTTCCTGTTATGTCCAAGCACAACGTATATAATTTTTAGTGATGATCAGATAATAATTTTCGGATGAAGTGGACTGCAAACTTAATTTGTCTGTGTGTTTTTTTCGAGTCAATGTATAGGTCACAATGTGAAGGGAATCTGAACAAGTAATTAGTCCGTACCCAATATTGGTTATATTCGGAAAATATGTCATGTTCACATGTTGTACTGTCAAGCTGAAACACCCAAACCAGCGGTATATTTTCTTCAACGAATGGAACTATAGGGTTTTCAACAAATTTGTATATTTTTTTCTTCAAAAAAAAAAAAAACATGTTAACGATGGTTTTTGAAGAATATTTTTAGGACATAAGGTATGGATGTCATTGATAGCCCGTGCGAAAAATTTTTAGGTTTTCGACTGTCAAAAATGTGTAAACTTCATATACCTGTTTACTACTTTACTACTAAACGTTATTTAGTTCAATATTATCACCATTTACAGTTATTTCCAAGAATATAAAATATTTGTACATATAACTGACTATTCCTTTCTAGGACTGATAAAAATTTTAATCTTTTTTGGGAAAACAATTTTGAAAATAATGCTTTTTGAAAACCCTAAGGTTTTACGTGGACATCCGACGTTCCTGACGTATGTATCATGCGCATCATAAGAACCATCTCTAATGGATATTTTAAATAACATTTTCTAGTTTGATATATGGTCTATATTACTATATTCAGTAAAGACCTGGACCATCAAAAATGCAGACGAGAAGGAAATTGTATTACAAACCAGGAAGTTCTGAGACAAATAAATACCGACAAACAACTATTAACCATGATCAAAAGAAGACATGTCATATATTTGAAACATCTGACGTGACAATTACAAATCTGAAATGACAATTACAAATTTTTAAATCTTTAAGAAAACTACATTTAAAGGATGCCGAAGCAGAATTTTCAGGGAAATGTATGGTCTTAAAACATTCAAGAATGGACAGGATGAAACAGGGATGAAATAAACACAGTTACTATAAAATATAATAATATTGAAAATATATAATATATTTATCATAGAATATTGATAGTAGATTGGTAGTCGAGAAAGTAATTTTAAGACATAACATAAATATGAGATTTGATTTATACCTCCTACCAATATATATATATATATATTTATAAATTGATTTTCATTTTATTTATACTCTTATATTGAGGAGAGTACAATGAACTTCTTGAAATAATAATTTCTTGTATACAATGTACACCATAATAAAATTGGAACCAATCAGCCAGTTTGGCGTCGAATGTAGCCTTTTTCTGCACGTAGATTTGTTGTAATCTGTCATATTCGAATGGACTTTATTTTATTTATTTATTTTTTGATTGTTAAAAATAATCAAAGTTGTAATGGGTTCAATAAACGACAGATTGTTAGCGTTGTATAAACAAAATATCGATGAATTTAAAAATATTTAAAAAATAACAAAATCATGAGTATTGGAACTAATTGGCCTGGAGGTGAATATACTATACCTATATATACACACATTCGATTTTCTAACACCATATTATCTTCTTGAGATATAGTATGTCTCATTGCAGTTTGACTTTGGCATCATCATTCATTTCAATATGCAAACATGAGTCCAATGACCGATGACATGTGTAGATTTATAGTGTGCTATATGTCAAAG